TGATTGTGCCAGAAACAGAGAACGAGGATTGCCGAATGATTGGCTTTAATCTTCTATCAATTTCAGTACATCAGCTAAAACATTAGGAAACACAATTAGCTCAACGAATAGCGAGTAAAAAAGTTAAACACAACGTCAGTATATAACACAGTGCATGGCTCCGCCCGGTCTCAATAAAAAATCCACTGGCATTACTGTACCTACGCATCAGTTATATCAGTTTACTGTAGTGGTTAACGGCCCTAAAGAGTCTCTAGTGAACAGAACAAATTAATAATGTAAGCCAGGTGCAAAGTCACAAGGAGAAAAATTTAAGTAAATCTTGACTCACAGTTCAATATAGGAGATTCCGTAGTTCCGTAGTCCGTTGAACCACCACCACACCAAGAGAAGTTCTATCTTCCAGGTATTCCAAATCTCCGGTGATCGCAATATTAATCCACAGATGTGGATTAGTCCAGCGTTTGTAGCTAAAATGTTTGTTCACGTTTAGAGTTAGTGGCAGTCAATTATAGCCAACCGGCAGTCACAACAACAGTCACTCAGTAAAAGTCTCAAAGCCACGTTAGACCCAAAAAGCGGGCGGTTGCAGTTGTATTTCAGTAAAACAAACTTTTGTACAGTGATGTGACTGATATTGATAGGGAAAAGAAAGATGATACTGAGCATGAAAAATAGCAGTTTACAAGTGCTACAAAACTGATAGCTATAACCACTGTACGGCAGATACGCTGATTTTGATGATGGTCATGTGAGCTCAGTCATTTTACGCATTTATTAAGGATGTTATGTATGACGTCAGAAGGCGAATCGTTTCCAAAAGGTTGTATACTATCAGATTGCTCACATCTTCGTGTCCTCTCACATATAGTCACCTCATATCCGTTCCTATCCTGCGTTGTGTCCGTTGTGCTCATATGTCCAGTAAAGGCCAAGTCACTCTACAAGACGTGCGATTTTCAGCACATTGCCTAATTTATAGGCGAATGAGGTTCAGTGCTGAGTTGACAGTAATTGTTATGTTTTTCTTCATCTGTGCATCGTCTTCTGGAGAGATGATATAGTTTATGCCCCGATTTTGAGCCTCCAACGCAGTCATTCGCTTATTTCTGATTTATACGTTCAAAACGTAGCCTCTATGAGCAAGAGATGTCCGGATTCGGGAGTTTTTTAGACCTCATTGCCTTTTATGGGTGCTGAAAGTCCGGTATCCAGTGGCGGCCCCTAGTGATATGATCCAAAAGCCTTATACCCTACTATGCCCGTCTCATTCCTTTCGGCATAGACGTCCATAATAACATCAAATACTGCAATTTCTACACAAACCTTTTTCCTCACCTCAAGTTAATGAAAATTTTGTTGGCTTGCTGGACAAAAGAAGTGGCTTAGCACGGTGAAATGTTCATGGAACAGGTTGGTCTCTATGGGGCCTACGGAACTAACGTTATGTTGAGATTTGACATTTTCGCGCCTTCCTGGATGTGGTCCACTTGATTTCTCTTGCGCGAAGTCGGAAATCCTACAAAACGTGGCGTGCAAGTGATTCCCGTGGTGAGCTTGTCATCACCCCCTGGCCGGACCGCCCAGCTAGCGCTTGTCTGTCGTTGTGTGCTGTGTTTGTATTGGATGGGGCTCGAAAAGGACGCTGAGTCAACTCCGCTGATTGCGTCTTGCTCCACCGTGGTGCTCGCTCGTTTTAATTTCAGTGGTTTTAGAAGGTTTATGGACCTCGTCAGCCGTTTCACGAAAAGATATACGGAGTTTTGCCGTAGGTCCCCATCATTTTTCTTTTTTGTCACCTTTTATCAAGGCATTTAATCCCTACTCATGTTTTGCTGTACATGACGATATCAATATGATTTGTCCAGATCTAGCTTCCAGCCACCATTGCAGCATACTGCCCGTCCGTTACACTTCTAAAATCTCGGAAGATAGTCGCTTCTAAGTAAGCAAAGTGGAGACTGCAATGCTACCTCCAACTTATGATATTATCGTTCGGTTCTGCGGAACATTGTGTACTGCTCTGGCCAACCCCAATGATGTGCCGCCAGGTTAGTTACTGGGATCTTTTATCTTCATCTGCCCAAAGACTGATGTCCGTCTACCTCGCACCTGTCGGACATTTTGTCTGTCCTTTGTGAATGCCATCTTCATAAAAACGTTTGGCCTGTCCTCACTGCTATACACCATATTCCCATTGGCCAATTGATGCTCTGAAGTTGTTGATAGACATAGTCATTGGGGTTTCCGTTAATGGTTTTCGGCATCTTTCTGCAGCGGCCCGACTTTGGGAACATATGACTGGCTTTAAAAGCTTTACCGTGCGCGGTAACAATATCTGAGGTTTTCAAAAGCCACCTTTGTCAATGCAGGATGACACCATATTGGTCAGACCATCGGGAATAACAGTTGTTGACCGTATCAAGTGGTTGCCTGGCATGTGTAAAGCTTAGCTTGAGATGGTTCAGTGGTTAAAACACGAACTTACTGGTCGAAAGGTCCGTGGTTCGTGTTCAACCCGGCACTTCGACTACTCACATCTGGACTTGGGCAACCTGACAGTATTTTAGACCTCGTGCTTTCATCGAATGAGATGGCAGCTAGGCACGGAAAATATGTTACAGCCTGGCGATTATCATCTGTACTAGGTGTGAAACTCATTTGATCTTGATCTCTCGCTGTACGAAGTGGTGCCCCATAGTTATAAGCACTAGTTTGTAACACAAATATTTAGGTTTCATGCGAGAGCAGTCATTATTTGCGTACTTGTTATCTTCATCCAGGTCCAGAGGATTCGACTGAAGACTCCTTGGTCATATAAGCTGGTAGGGAGTTGTGGTACTTGTTGGAATAAGATATAATGAAACATCGGAGCAAAACTGTTGAGTGGAGAGTTGTCGAATGCTGTGTTGCATAATTGGTGGTGAATTTGGACGATGTACAAGAGACGTTTCTCGGTGGACCGATTCGAAGCAGTAGCCTTATCAGCCTGAAGGTTACTGTGGTCGATCGGGGATCGTCTTATCCTTCGTCACCATTGGCAGAGGTGTTATTCCATTGAATGTACGGAATGTCGCGAGTGACTGGTGGACTTGCTATCATGCGTCTAATCTTAGTGCTCCAATCTTTTAGATGGGAGAACGTGACACGTCCTCACTTCACCTCAATTTCCATACAACGTACAAAGTCGTCTATGTGTGAGCATTACGGGACAGGCCTTCAGCAAACTACCCCAATCCCGATGAATATATTTTTACTTTCTGTCGGGGCAAGATAACCCAAGTGGTAAGAGCGCGAATTTATTGACCGGAAAGTCCGTGGTTCGAACCCGACCTCTGCCTCCGAACTTCCCCTGTCTATGCTTGGGCAACCTGACAGTATCCCACCCCTCGTGCTTCCTTCGGGTGGCATGGCAGTTAGGCACCTGAAGGCTGCTACAGCTGAACATTTCTTTTTTCATTCTCTTCTGTCGGAATGAGCCATTGGTTTATTTATTGTACAAATCCTGTTTCATCAGAGTTGACGGGATAATGTGTTTTGTATTGGTACTGGGCGTAACTGTCTGTCATGTCTATACTCTGTTTCAGCTCTGTGGTATACCTACACAGTATGAGGTCTAAAGGTAAAGGTCTGAAACCGCCAGTTTGCTCAGACTTCGGCCTGCAGGGAAAAAGAAGCTAAATCTGCGCCAGAAGTATTGTGGGGCGAGATGGCCCAAGTGGTTAGAGCGCGAATTTACTGATCGGAAGGTCCGTGGTTCGAACCCGACCTCTGCCTCCGAACTTCCCCTGTCTATGCTTGGGCAACCTGACAGTATCCCACCCCTCGTGCTTCCTTCGGGTGGCATGGCAGTTAGGCACCTGAAGGCTGCTACAGCTGAACATTTCTTTTTTCATTCTCTTCTGTCGGAATGAGCCATTGGTTTATTTATTGTACAAATCCTGTTTCATCAGAGTTGACGGGATAATGTGTTTTGTATTGGTACTGGGCGTAACTGTCTGTCATGTCTATACTCTGTTTCAGCTCTGTGGTATACCTACACAGTATGAGGTCTAAAGGTAAAGGTCTGAAACCGCCAGTTTGCTCAGACTTCGGCCTGCAGGGAAAAAGAAGCTAAATCTGCGCCAGAAGAGGTATAAGGAAGTTGTCCAGCAACGAATCAGTACCAAAACACCCCCAGTGCAGTATACTCGCAGACTGAAAACTCGAAAACACAAGAAATTAAAGCATGTCGTCTCTCTCTACTCACAGTCGAGTACGTTGTCCGCTTACCTTTATGCGAGTGTTTTTCCTGGTTTAGACCGTGAAAACAAACCACCGAAAGACGATTCACAACACGTTCCGGCAAGTTTTAAAGAATTGATGCACTTAATGGAGTCATCGGGGAAACGTGTTCGGCCACCCTACCTTTCTGGTGAATATTTACTTAACAGCCCAGGTTTAACCATACTTGCAGGAGTTGGTGACACAGAGGGCATGCGGAAACCGTGCCCAGAGAATAAACTTCCTAAACAGGGAAAGCACGAATCCGATGCTCACTATATCGGTCGTGTACACAAGGAAGTGGCCGATGAAATGGCCAGGTTGCAGTTCGCCAAAACTCAAAAGGTTTGTGCCGTTTGCCTAAACATGCACACCTTTCTAGACCGAGATTCTCCTAACGGAGCCACGGAAAGGAAAGAAACAAATAAAATCTATTGAGTAAGTTACTCCTACTTATTGTCTGAACTAATCACGCAGACGTTTGCGCGAGAAAAAATACAATAAAAAGCTACACGCTCTGGAAAAGCGTTTGACTGGGTTCGAACATTTGAAAGGTGAGTAAATACTGTTGCTGTTCTCAAATCTAGCATGAATTTTTACAGATGTAGTCAAGTTTAACGAGGTGGTAACTGCACCTCCTACCAACTTGACGAAGCCAAAGAAAGTCGGAGCTTCCAGGCGTGCAGTCATACATCCGATTGATAAGTAAGTGCTACATGGTCTGGAAGATATGATACGATAGTTGAAATTGTGTGGTACTCAGTTTGACATATTCGTCTTTCTAAACGCCTCTTTGAGGATGATGAGCTCTTGTCAGCCCTTCATGGGTTGAGCCAACAGAATGCTGGTGAACTAGTAGGGGCCTTAGTGTTTCAGCGGACAACAGACTGCCACATTTACAAAATCGTGAGTCCAGCAAGTATCTGAGAGCAGGGTTGGTAGTGTCTGCAGGAGGTTAGCAGGAAACGGTGAGAACAGACATTTTTTGATGCTTCTTTGTGGAGTAGGTCTCGAAGTTTGGAACTGGGTTTCTATATCCATGTGCATGCCTCTCTGGATGTCAGTTCTGATTTCGAAAACAGCAGTTTGTCGTATCTAAGTCTCGAAATAAACGGTTTCGGGTTTCGGGGACCAGTCCTGCACGGGATCGAAAAATAACGGAGGGCAATCTATTAGCATCGATAACTTGGTTCATGTGTTCAGGTGTTTTTGAGGGGGTCGTTGAACAGGTTCCAGCCGGTGGTTTGTGGACAAAGTGTGCCCGCTGGCAGCACAGTACCTTTCTTATCGTTCACTGGCATCAGCCATTGCGATACTTTTTGGGAATCCTGCGTTTAGTCTGCATCGACCACACAATTTAGAGCGACTCATGACTTGAGTTCGTCTGTCTACTTTCTGTATTCCAACCCAATCGCCTTTGTTGGAGTAGTGATGTTCAGGACTGCCCTCATTGCCATGGTGGTCGTTACCGAACTGCAACCTTCGTCTCAACGCTCATCTTCCTTCATCTACTGAAGCCAGATTCTGTGGAGTGCATTCCAATTGCATCAGTTCCACGTATTTATCTGTAGTCTTTAAAAAGGCCTTACTGAATTCTGTAAAATCTACATCTGGACTGTCTCTCACATCGATGGTGTTCATCTTTAATGTATCTGTCCAGCAGCTTAGAAGTCGGGTTAGCAAGT